GTCGATTGGGCGTCGAAGTGTTGAATCATTCAGAAAAATATTCGTTTTGTATATAAATTCAGATAGTGTTTCAGTAAGCTGCTAATAGTTATAAACATAAAAAACGTTGCATTTTTAAAACTAACACATAAACAAGTTAGCATGTCAGTTAAATAAGATTAAAAACAACAAAAAGTTACCTTCTTATACTGCCCGATAAAAAAACCCTTGAAAAGCCAGAAAAGGTTTTCGCTGCTTCGCAAATGCTAGTACTTCCACTTTCCAAAATCAAAGTTTTCTTTTTTGTCAAAATTTTCCTTTAAAAATTTCGCCATTTTTATATTTCCGATTAAGGCGATTTAATATTAACAAGACGTCTGGTATTGCTAAACCAAAGCCGCTAGAACTGTAAGAACAAAATCATGCATCTGTGAGTATTAACTTTGCTTTCTAAACGTGATTGTAAGCAAGTTTGACTTGAAATAGCGTTTCATTTCGGTATTAGGCAGCAAAATACCAAAATGTCGGTATATCGGTATTTTTAAATTGTCAATATCGCCAAACCGGTATCTAAACAAATACCGGTATATCGGATATATCCGGTATATCGATCCAGCCTAAGGGAAATCCACTAGATAGTATGTGGTGTGCTCTCTTTAATGTGCAAAATTAATTTCTCTTGTCTTGGAATCACTTCACCATGTTTGAAATGATGTAGTTGATGTGCCGTTTAACTCATTAAGCTGCAGACAGTTGCAATGTTTCTACCCCACTTAGGGCCAACCAAAATGGCGAATTTTAGTTCCTGTAAACTATGTTTACAAGAATGGTTCTAGCTCAAGTACAATGTAATAGTAAAACATGAAATTTGGCAAGACAATTGAGTAATGAATAAGCCTTCATTTTTTGTATAAATGAGCACAACTAGATCAATAACAGACAAGATAAATGAGTGAGAACTTCATACATAGCTAATTTCTGAAAAATGTTTCCTTTGTAATTAAGACATTGAATATTTAAAAGCTTGAAATACTATAAACTTTAATATTTCTATTATTTCCTTTATGATTTTTGTTTTACAAAATAGTTGAAAAGCCAGGATTTAAATTCTTATAACGAATGGGGTTGTATTACTAAAAATATGAGATTTTTTCATGCATATTTTTAGTTGCCTTCATGCAAAAAAATATGTAATGTATAAAGTATAATTTGTGTTTCCATAACAAGATTTGAAAACAAAATACACCTATAAATTCATGCCTTGACGGGTTGGTTTTTGTCTTAATTTTACTGAAATTTACCTGTGATTTATATACTTGCTAAACTTAAATGAAACGAGCAGAGTTTGGGGGGTAAAATCTGAAATTTACTGTGATAGATTATGGCAGAGCTGTTGTCTGCATTGACATGGCTTCCCTGTTCGGCAAACTGCCTGGCAAAGAGCCAGTCTTTTATTAAAAAACACTACATACAGCATAATATAAAACATGCAAACATTGAATGGTTTTGTCTAATAGTAAGACAAACTTTATTGATGCCATTCCATAAAACAAGCTCGCTCTCTACAAAGATTTACATTACACTGAGCACACTTATATATACTTTCAAACGTTCTTCCCGACGCACGCTTCCTTCCCGCTTTCGAACACATCCCACACGCTCGTTTTCGCTCTGAAGACTTCACTAAACTATGGCCCTTAACATTTCTACCCACTGGAACATCTTTTTTACGGCCACTCGGAGCACTAGAAATCTTTTTGTAGCCGTTATAGGTCGAAATAAGTTGCCTTGCCAAAGCAAGACGGAAATCTAAATGTTTTAGGCGACGGCGTCGATCAGTCTGCAAGTTTTGTAATATGAAACCGTTTACAATTGAAATATTCACAAAAAACCAAGCCAAATATTTCCACCACTTTTTAGATTGAGCTCCTACAGGGTAGTAGCTCCTATACTGGTCGTTTACGTCCACACCGTTCATATACTTATTATACAATGATATGACGGCGGGTTTTTCTCGCACTTCCTCGGGAACGGCTTTCCTTTTTCCAGTGCGTTCATCTAAAGGACCGAAAACTTCGGGCTGTGGATCGACATTGGTCGATAAAATCGTGACTAAACGTTTATCTTGCCATGTCAAACAAACTAAATTTTCATTTTGTCGAGTTCGCATTTCTCCACGCTTAAGTTTTATTTTTTTCAAATCAGCAGGAAAATATTTCCTGTTGTGGCGCAAGGTCGAGCATGCGTAAGTTTTATTTTCAAGCAAATGTTCGAGTAAAGGAACCGAGGAAAAATAGTTATCGAAATAGAAGTGACGGTAAGTATTATAGTAGGGTTTTCCCAGGAAATCAACAACTTTAAAACCGAGACCTCGCGCCTCTTCCGCATCATTTTCATCGGCATTTTCGGCATTTTGTTGTTTACCTAAGTAAACTTGAAAGCGCGGCACGAAGTAAGTTTCAGAATCGGCTAACATCCAAATTTTGATACCAAATTTATTCGGGTTTTTAGGCATATATTGCTTGAAAGATAAACGACCATTAAATTTAATCAAACCCTCATCAATCGAAATATTTTTTCCAGGCACATAAACATCTTGAAAAGCATTTTCGAGCTTTGAAATAAGGGGCCGAATTTTTGTAAGTTTATCGGTTGGGTTTTCTTGCCGCGGGTCCGAAATATGAAAATACTTGTTCAAAATCTGGAAACGTTTTGAAGGCATTGTTGTTTTAAAGCCGGCATTTCCTAAAAATAAATTTGAATCCCAGTATGACCGGATTTTTGGAAGTTTGTTTATTCCCATCAAAATATTCAAGCCAAAAAATGCAGACATTTCGTCGCGTCGGTTGTAAAATTTGGATCGTTGCATTTTGAACGGGCGTACGAAATTGTAGCATGCACAATGAGATCGAAAAACGCATCGCCGAAAAACAAGTCGAAAAAGTCCTTAGGGGAAGCGTCTAAACCCAAGCCATGTCGAGGACCAAAGTCGGCAGCAAAGTCTTCAACACTAACACTACTTAAATTATCTTTCCATTCAAAAATACCATCAAAACTATCGTTACTTATCTCGCTTCCACTTTCGCTCACACTATCGCTGTCGAGTTCTTGAACTTCGATGTCAGAAAAACCGTGAAAGTCCTCTTCATCGTCGTCCGAATCGCCCGCTATGTCTCTCCACGAAACCGCCGATGTTCCCGCTGCGATAGGCCGTGTTTCTTCAACCGTTTCGTCGATTAAAAACCCCTCAAAATCGCTTTCGTCCTCACTACTGTCGAACATACTAAGTGCTTCAGCCATATTTAAAAAAAATTCGCCAAAAGGTGTTTTAAAACTCTCGTAACTTGGACAATATTAACTGTACAAGGTTGCACGAGGTCTCATTTGAAAGAGCGGATTCGGGTGTTTTTATAGGTGCCCGTTGCTAAGCAACGCGAAATGCATGTTTTTAGCAATCGGCCAATGAAAATGGCGTGTCGTTTTGGGCGCATTCGGGCGCATTGCCGCTACCCCCCTTGCCAATCTCAGGGCGCATTCGGGCGCATTGCCGCTTAATGAGTTAAATTGAGAGAAGTAGCCAAGCCTTTATATTCAACATATCCACGACCTCAGGCAAACATGGTATGGAGTCTGTTGGATCTTTTAATTAGTCGTTTCAAGAATGCTGAGGAACCATTTTCTTCTTGCATCTCCACCATCACAAGGTCCATCCAGTGGGAAGCATCCCAAGTTGTTAAAAAGAAAGGATCAGCAGAACGATTGTTCTTTCCAAGTTTGGTGTAGAGAGCGTCCTGGAAGGTATTTGCCTGATATTGTCCATTTAGCATGAACAGCTAGAATGTAAAAGAATGTACATAATAACACTCTGGTGCATTGTTTGAAGTAGGTTCTGAAATATCCAATCATAACACTGCATGACAACAAATTGTCTAATGGACTAGGTTGGCAATGTACAGCTATTTCAATTAAGGTTGTCCACAAGCAAAGCGGAAAAGTCGAATACGAGCGCGAAGGGCTGCTGGGAATCGCTTTGAAAATTCATTAGTTTGTTAACAATTCCCAGCAGCCTTTCGCACTCGTATTCGACTTTTCCACTTTGCTTGTGGACAACCTTAATTGGAATAGCTGCATCTCACTAAAGTTACGTATATCATTATACAGTATATCTGTACAGCATACTGTATCCACAATCGACCTACCTCTTACATAGTTCATATCTGTGTCGTTGAATTTCAATTTATTACGGAGGGCATCTACCACCTGTTCTGCAAGGTGTTGACCACTTCCTCCTTCAATATCACCTTCTGCAGATACTGAATATACAAGGGGAGCATCAAGTGGCATGGCTACTCGTTTCCCATTAACAGGAAGGAGCACCAAACTTGTGCGATTCGTATCCCTTTGAGGCGTTGACTTGTCAACAGCAACAGATACGTGTGGGCGTAAACCGGTTGATGTCAGTGGTTCTTTTAGAAAGTTCTGTGTTTGCTGAATGACATAATGATAGGCAGTATTGATGATTTCAGGGAATTGATTACTGCAAAGAACAGTATCTTCAAACGATGTGAAACCTACATCAGAGACAGTCTCATAAAAATCAATTTTGAGTTGTAGTCAAGAATTAGTTCTATTTACAGGCACACATGCTACAACTGAACATTGATTTTTACAAAGTAAAAGTTCTCAACCGTCATGGTCTCCATCATGGATTTAGAAGTACAGGTTACGAGAGTATATTATTTATGTAAATGTTCAGGGGTATTGCATCTTTTCCTGCTAATAAATAGTACTGCACATTACCGTCCATGTCCAATATTACCAACGTCTGCACCACACGACGAAAGGAAGCCAACCATGGTCTCATATGCAACTCCAGCTGCCTTCATTTTGCACACTGTATTCACTGCCATATTCTGTGCCTTGCACTTTGCATCTTCCATTGCATGTTGTGTTGCCCTGTGTTGCCTCCAAAATTTGCTCCCTTCAAACAATCGATTACTGCGTTTGCTATGTGTTCCATGTCTCTTTATGTTTCAGACAGCCAGGTTCTTGAAATCCTTCATGTCTACCCTGACTAGAAAACGATCCATGAGCCGACAGTTCTTTATTAACTTGAGGGTGAACTCTTTCAACGAAGTTGCGTTTACTTTCGTATTCAGAAAAAGACACCTGAATCACCTTTTCCAAATTCAAAAATTTAGAAAAAACGGACAAGTGTCATTTGAACAAGACTGCTTGAAGGTTGTTTGGAAGGTCCATTGTTGACAACAAAGCAGAAGGTTTGTTTAAGGTGTCCTGTTTTAGGATTTCTGAAATAACTGTCTAATGACGGTTCAGCCAGAAGAAACAATAATTCATTAAAGCAACGAAAAACTGTTTCTGGTTCATCATATGAAGGATAAACTAAATTCACCACTTTACCAGTCCATGTAATGGCAACTGCACTTGAGCTATTCATTATGGGTAAGATAAGTTCTTTGCTTGATATTGGCATTTCGATGACATTCCAGCTTTCTAAATACAAATGTGCCATTGGTGTGTGTAACTGCGGGCTCATGTGTGTGACATGTATGTGGGCTCAAAGGATTGAAAAAACTTTTACTCAAAGGACAACGTTACTGTTTATATAGAAGGAACTCAATTTTACGATAAACTTTAGTTCATATTTTAAATGTGCGTGCTCGCCAAGAGGGGAAAGTCGGTCAGTCTCTTTATATATGTAATTGCTTTCTATTGTTATACTTTCGTAGCATATATTTCCTTATGTATTTTGTGTGTTTGTATTCTGTAGTTTTATTCCATTGCGTCATCAAAATATAGCCGAAAATCTGGGAAAAGCAAATCAATCATCTCGTCATTCTACTATTAGCACCACTTCGTCTACACGACAACACAGACTTGATTAGCATGCCTTAAAGCTAAAATGAGCATGGTAAAGGTAAAGGAGGATTTGGACATAGTGAATAGAAGAGCTCTGGAGCAAATTGAAGAAAAAAATATTGAAATTGAGCGAAAAGAGAAAAGGGTGAGAGAACCGATAGAAATGGCCTGGATCAACACATGTAAAAGGTTTGAAGAAGTTGGGATGCCTGACTTCGGGGACAATGATCAGATTAGTGTAGATGAACACATTAACAAATTTCTCGATTCTCAGCCAAGCTTGTCCAGTAACGAAGCCCAGACCCGTGAAGTGGGTAATCAAGCTGTTCCTATAGTCGTTAATGATCAAGAGCCAATGGCAACATTCCAACTCAATCCCCTGGCACCTACCTATGCCAGTAATGAGCAAGTCCATCGACATACTAACATACAGGATTCAACGCCCCTCAACCATGTGAACCAATCTTCCACTGCCATTGACAACAACCTCAGAAACCTCAACCTAGTCCAAACCCAGCTGACTACGATATCGAAACTCTTAGAAATCCAGAATCAAAGTAGATTACCTTTGCCAGAGCCTGGCATCTTTTCTGGTGATCCCCTGCAGTACCCAGTATGTGCGAAAGCCTTCAAAACACTAATAGAAAGTCATGCGATTAACTCTGTGGAAAAACTGCATTATTTGGGAAAATATGTTTCTGGCGATTGCCGAAGTAATTATGTTACTCAATGGTGATGACGCTTATTGCAGTAGCATCTGCATTTCATAAAAGGCTGGATGAATGGACACAAGTTGCACCAAACGACAGTCATGGTCTTAGGAAATACGCAGATCTACTCGTCCAGTGTGAAAAAGCTATGGAGAGGATAAGCAGTTTGAAAGTTCTCGACGATGACCAGGAGAATCATAAGATGATCTCCAAGCTACCAAGTTTGGCTGCAGTTAGATGGGGAAGATTGGTGTGTAACTGGAAGGAAGAGAAATAAAGTTTTCCTTTTTCCTCCATTGTCAGAGTTTGTGAAATTCGTTTTGAAGAAAGCTGACATAGCCAGTGATCCAGTTAACGTTCGAAAGATCAGTAAGGACGACGATTCCAAGGTGACCAAGAAATCAAGGTTATGGTGCATCAAGAGGCAAGTTTCCTACACAGTATGGAGGAAGACCTACAATCCTGGACAAAAAAGTGGCAAAAACTAGTTTATTACTTCTAAATATAATTTTAAGACATGTTTGTCCCAATGATGCCCCCTTCTCCCAAAATCAATGTTCGGCCAAGTTCTCTGGCCTCAAATACACCCATCAACATTGATATTAGGGGAAGGGGGGTGAAATTCGATGAATTTTCTTATTTTTTACCCTATTGCCAATAATTTATGTCCAGGATTGTATGAATTTGAATGGAAAAATTACGGAGTTTTCCCATACAATACTGTCGGTTTTAGCTCGCTTTTAATTTTTTTTACCACTTTAGAGTGTTGTTTGGCAAAATATATTATGACCTTGTTAATTTCATTACAAAGTTCAAACTTCCTATTTAAAACTGCACATGTGATTGGTCATTTGAATTAGAGTTTGCCTAATGTACTTCTGCTAGTCTTTGGCGTGAATTTTCAAAGTACTTCTCATAGATTTGAACATTGTTTACATTTAATATTATATACCGGTACATTAAATACGATATAATGGAGAGCGGTGAAGCTAGCGCAAATTTTAGCGAAGAGTCGAATGACATACACTTTATTTCATGACTTACTGAACATCAGAACCAACGGATATACCTCATAACTTGCGCAAGGGCAAATTTAGATAGGTTCCCGAATTGTCTGGCATTTTCCGACATTGTACTAGAGGCATTCAATAACGGGAAAAGTAGCAAGGAGATTGTCCAGTGGGCCCACTGCATAGAAGTTCATGCCAACGGGGCAAAACATTTTCACATTCCTGTTAAACTGGATGGAACGAGACGATGGAATCTTGTCAAGAATTTTATTTGTGTCACCAACGTGTCACCAAATTTATTATATTAAAATTACTCTACACAAACGTGTCACCAGTACTACAATAAGTAAAGTATATATACTTTATATAAAATTTTGGTGACACGTTGATTTACTATATATGAAGAACAATTGTCTTGGTGACATGTATGGTGACACGTTGGTGACACGTCAAATTGAAATTGCAAAGAACTATTGTTGGGAATTATTAGTTTTCATTCTAAATTAAAATCTCCACAAGCGGAGGTCAATTATAGTGCTGTAGTTTACATATTATCATTAATCATCATGTTAATTCAAAGAGCTATTTAAATTGAATAAACACGGGAACAGAACTTTGGGTGTGTTCTGCACATGCGTATGTCTAGGATAAAATCCCACAAGTGCAAACGAAACTATTGCGTTATAAAATTGAACTGAAAGGATTCAGAGAGACGATTTTTGGCAGTGCTTCAGGCGCCTGATGATATAGTATGAGGGCCCTTTAGCACTGTTACCTTCTCATCTTGAGATGGTGACGCTATTGTGTGTACTTGTCAGGGTGACGAAGCTGTATTATTGCTAATAATGTCTGTGTGCACATAAATGTCAAATTCATGAAAGTTGTGTAAATATATAAAGAATCACTTCATTTCAGAATCATTTCATACCATTTTCAGTATAAGTAAAAACCCTATCAATCAGACATCCCATACACTAAAACTAAAACATTCAAATTTGGAAATTATCTCATACAATCCTGGACAAAAAAAGTGGCAAAAACTAGTTTATTACTTCAAAATATAATTTTAAGACATGTTTGTCTCAAGATGCCCCCTTCCCCCAATATCAATGTTTGGCCAAGTTCTCTGGCCTCGAATACACCCATCAACATTGATATTAGGGGAAGGGGGGTGAAATTCGATGAATTTTCTTATTTTACTCTTTTACCAATAATTTATGTCCAGGGTTGTAGAAACACCTTGTTGACAAAGTCGAAGGACGACGACCCTAACGACCACGAAACAACGAAAGACGAAGGCCCAGCTGTTAATTCCTGCATTCTCTGTAAGGGAGCTCACAAACTTAATTCATGTCAGGAATTCTGCAAGAAGGACGTAAAGGAAAGAAAGGAATTCACCAAGTCTCAAGGACTTTGCTTTGGTTGCCTAAAGCAAGGCCACGTCTCTAAATATTGCACGAAGAGAAAAACCTGCGACACATTCTACGTATCTTTCGATGCAAGTGCATCTGGATACGGACAGTGTTCATACATACATTTAGTTAATGTACACAAAGAAGTCCACTGCGAACTCGTTATGGCAAAATCCTGTGTCTCTCCCCTGAAAACCATCACAATACCTTGCCTCAAGCTGACGGCAGCTTTGGTATCAGTTAGAGTCAGCACCATGTTGCACAAAATACGTGAGAAGCAAAGAAAACCCAGCAGACGAATCCTCTAGAGGTCTAACTGCTCAAGAATTTCTTGATGGCAAACGTTGGCTTTCTGGTCCGTCATTCCTCCAGAACCCTCAACTCGACCTTGTGGATGCTGTCGAACACCCACTGTCACAAGACAATCCCAAAGTCAAGAGAACGTTTCTTGCTACCCAAACGTCGATCGACAATTTCTGCGTAATATGAAAGAGAACAGTTCTAACGACAGAGACCGTATTATGAAACAAACAAGTTCTCTATTTTGCCTGAATCCATTCTTGGACGAGGAAGGAATTCTCAGAGTCGGTGGTCGCCTCACCCGAGCTAGCGTCCCATTTCACGTCAAGCATCTAGTAATTCTTCCACTAAAGGGACACATAACAGCATTAGTTATCAATCACTATCACCAAAGAATTCTTCATCAGGGCCGCGGAATGACCCTCAACAAGCTATGCACAAATGGTTTCTGGATAACCGCTGTCGCCCGTCATATTTACGATTGCCTACCGTGCAGGAAGCTATGTGCCTCCCCCCAAGATCAGAAGATGGCGGACTTACCAAAACACTGTTTAGAACCATCACCTCCATTCACAGTATGCGGTGTTTGCTACTTTGGCCCCTGGCACATAAAGGAAGGATGACGAGAGATGAAGAGATATGGAGTTGTGTTCAACTGTCTAGCATCGCACGCGATACATCTCAATACATCCCGTACGAATTCTGAGAACCGATCAAGGCACAAACTTAATGGGTGCTCGAAACGAACTATTCGAAGCAGTGAAAGAAATTAATCAAGACAAAGTACGAGAATTCCTACTTGCGAAGGAATGCGACTGGATAGAGTTCCAGACTAACGTACCCCCAGCAAGTCACATGTGTGGGAATGCCAGATAAGGACGGTGCAAATGTTCTTGATGCACTACTTGATGATCATGGTACGCAACTAGATGAAGAATCGTTAAGAACATTTATATGCGAAGCTGAGTCAATAGTAAAAAGCTGACCACTTACTACTGACAACCTGACTTCACCTGATGGAACCGAACCACTTACCCCTAACCACTTGCTCATCATGAAGGCCTGAGTCCTTTTACCACCCCCTGGTCTGTATTGGCACAAGGAATTCATGTTTTCCTTGCAACGAAGACAGAAATGGGTACACCTCCAAAGAAACATGCAAGCAGGCGATATCGTATTGATTAAAGAAGAAAACGTGCCAAGAAACTGCTGGCGCACTGCTCGAGTCAAAGAAGCTTATACCTCTGATGACAGACTCGTTCGAAAGGTAAAGATCATCGTGAGCGATCCTTCACTTTCAAGGGGAGGAAAACATGTTCGAGCAACGACTGTTCTGGAGAGACCAGTTCATAAGCTGGTACTACTTCTGAAGTTGAACTCTGAAGATACAACCAATGATTAAAGAATCCCCGCCAAAAAGCTTTGTGTGGAAGGAACATTTATTGACTCTATTATTATAAATTGTGCTTATCTACAATTTAGGGGAGCCATGTAACTGTGGGCTCATGTGTGCGACATGTTTGTGAGCTCAAAGGATTGAAAAAACCTTTACTCAAAGGACAACGTTACTGTTTATATGGAAGGATCTCAATTTTATGAGAAACTTTAGTTCATATTTTAGATTTTTAGATGTGTGTGCTCGCCAAGAGAGGAAATTTGGTCAGTCTCTTTATATATGTAATTGCTTTGTATTGTTATACTTTTGTAGCGTATATTTCCTTATGTATTTCGTATATTTGTATTCTGTAGTTTTACGTCAAGTTATCGTGAATATATTAAAGAACTAAATTTACACTCTGCAAATTAGTGTCAATTTATCCGATTAAACGAACAATCTCGGCAACGAGCAGGCACAACTTGCGAACATTGCGTGCCGGGAGTTATAGTGTGACTGTGTTTGCTCGCTGTTGTTCCCAATCGTGGCCAGGAAGAATTCCATCTCTTTGTTTCCATGTTTTCATTGGTTTTTGGACAGGCCCTATATCTGCTGGAATTATACTTTTCGCATCTTTGGAGTCAATGAAACTGGAATCTTTTTTCGCCTCGCAATCATCCACCAAAAAATTAACACCCAAAGCAGACCAGTAAGTTTTTATTACAAACAAAGCGAGGCGGGTTATGCAAGGAGATTTTAGCATTTATACCTTTGCCATTGTGATGTCTTTTCGCTTGTAATGTGTTTTTCTTGTAATTTTGAGTATAATTGTAACAGCTCGATAAAGATATATGAAAATCTGGATTTGACATTGCAATTACAATTTCTCTGGCTTTCTTCATGTCTGTGTTGCCATCTGGGGTCCTATACAAGGTTTCGTCAATTAGCCGTGGGTGACTCTGCAGACCTCCTCCCCCTTACTCGCAAATGTCGTCCATGAAAGCATACACAAGTATGGGCACAAGAGATTCGATTTCTTCGCTTTTGAGTATGCGTCCTCGACCTGGTTGAACGTGCACAATTTCCATACTTTTTCGTTGTTTCACTTATAAATGCTTGACCGTTAATGTACAGCTGCATTACGTTTAAGTGTTTTGATATTATGCTGTACAACTCTGCTGACATTCTTCGTTCGCTTGTGCGACCACTGGCTTCCTTGTAGACTTTGCACAAGTCTGTCATAGGTATCAGTGGACCATGCTTTACAACATATTCTCCCACTGCAATAGTTCCCTTTTGTGATGCTGCACTGTTTGGGTGGAAATATTCTGTTTTCAAAGCATCAATGTTATCCCTTAACGTCCATTTTACATTGCTGACTACGCATTGTAAACTACTAGAATTGTCACTGTAATCGCTGCTTAAATTGTCAGTCTTTGTTTTTGCATTCAAGTTACGGCTTCTATTTTTGTAGTATAATTTTCCTCTACGTCTGTAGAAAGATCGATCAACACCGATCAATGGGAATACACAGGTTGAAGATAAAGAATCATTTCCATCGTTACATTGACAGGGATCGGAGACATTTGTATGACACTTTATTTCAAGTAATTCCAAAACTTTTCCTTGTTTAGGAGAGTTTATACTGGATTGTTAATAAATTCCAGCTTGACTATGGACACTGCTGTTTGATGCTCCAGCGGGGCTGTTTTTGAATGCGTTGTGTTTTCCTCAGTTAAGTTCTCAGGCCGATTAATGCTTGGCTCTTGCTGGCGCTGCCCACGCTTGACTTGATATGTCCATGCAAAAAACGTGTTGGACTTGCCGACTCACAAGACAACGTTAATGTCGGTCGCTAATGTGTAGATGTTGTCCAGAGTACAGCCAACTTTGGTCCTACAATTAGATTTGTAAGCATTGTAATCTAGAACATTGTTTTAGTGCAAATTATATTGACATTGTACGAGACATTGTTGTATTCACAGCAATATTTTCATATCAGTTGCATAATCTTTAAGTGTCTAATTACCACAATGCAGTATAAGAGTAAAAGGTTCCGTGATAATATTTTTGTACATATCCATGAATGTTTAGTTAGTCGGCAAGCAGTGTTTTTAAACATTAAGTTAATTTCCATTATCACCGCCTATATCTTGTCACATGACCAGTTTCCATGGAAACCAAATAGTTGAAAAATATCGGCTGTTGATTTGCAACATCTCACCCAAAAACAAGAGTCGTAGTGTACTTTGTTAATTTTTAATTAATTTTTAAAGATTAATTTTTCTATTTTCCCACTCCTTACGAAATTGGCGCCAGGCATTAATGCACCTGAGTTAGAGATTGGCGTGGAATGATGAAATAACTTCTTGGTCTTGAGTTTTGTTTTTATGTTGTTAATACATTTACCATGATTGGAGACATTTGTCAGATCGTCTGCTTTTCTAGGAATGTTGCAATTAGATTTCTGAGAAATTCCGACTAGATGATCGACACTATTGTTCGATGTTGCAGCGGATCCGGAGCTGTTTAATGGGTTGACTGTAGGTGTTGTTTTTTCCTCAGTTAAGTTAAATTTTGGCATAGTATAATCAAATATCTTCTTGGACTTTGTTTTTGTATCTTTTGATGACACAGGTGTATCTTTTTGCTTGATTTTGAATTCCTTGGCATCGTTGCACCTGCTTTCTTTTCCTGCAACCAGCAGAAGGCACGTCTTTTCCATTATCTAAGAAATCACTCAAAGTCGGCAATGGACAAGCTTTGGTACGAAACGAATCCTTGTGGTTATGGCTTGGAAAAAACCATTAGCATATTTGTCTGCGATATTGGCGAGGGTGTTAGATTGTGTTTTCGTGATCTTGATACGGTTGTCCAAACATTTGAACTTCCAGAGACACTTAAAAGTGGTACAAAATGGTTTACTTGAAATGCTTTAGATTTATCTGGCCAACGACGTATGTCCGTCCACATAACTGTAATCACTGGAAAAAAACTTCAACGTCGGTACTTGCCCTTGGTTTATATATTGCACCCAGCAAAGAGAAGAGTTGTCGCTTGTCCGGGTAAATCATTTTAATTTTGCAACCTATTGCTGATGCTAACCCCATAATTTGCATTATGCCAGACCATCTGTAGTTGTAACAGGTGTTGCAAATTTCATTCTTTAACAATGCTTGAAATTCACCACACTTTTCCACATTCTCCTTTGATTGTGAGTAAGGTTTGCTAAATATAACTGCATTATATAACCCATGTATGGACCATTTTTGACCGGTCTGATTAGTTAAATCATTTGCGATCATGCTTTTGACTCACAGCATTGAATAAGCAATTTCCATCCCCTGTTGTTTTAATAGATTTAACGTCTTTTATAATATAATAAACCGTTCTCATTCAATATTGAAGAGGCTGTCTTGTCTACCATACCGTTGGACATACATACTTTCCCAGCATTTTGAACATTTATTGGCTGACAGTATTTCGTTTGTATTTGCCTTGCAAGCGATTGTTTTTCCATAAACGTTGCTCTTGAGGACAACAACTTCAATCTCATCAGATCATTTTCTGGTTTATTAAGAAATGCCATGACTTCTAAATATATTTACGACAGAATTGTAAATCGAAAATTGGCGTGCTTTTATTTAATGCAGGCTGGCCTCTTTCAAGGACGTTATTGGAAAAATGCATTTTTTATGATGCTTGTGATGTTACTCTGAGTGTATATCCACAATGGGCAAGCTTGAAAAATATTCCTGACCACGGTGGGAATCAGGCATATTTTGAAGCTTGCCCGGTGTGGATATACACTCAAAGTAACATCGCAAGCATCATATTCACCTGAGTACATTACACCAACACAGAAAAATCATTACTGCATTTTTTATGTTGTTCAGTTATATAACTACGATATTTAAATTGGAATGTGTTTGGTTGCATGTAAAAGGTTTTAGGGGTTATATAGGTTACCATGTAAAAATCGAACTTTTAGTATAGTACTATATTACCTTAGTGCTCAGCCAGGACGGACGTGTATTTTTTTGCTCCGTCAATAACGAATTCTGAAATGCCTGAGACTATCAAATCTCTTAAAGGAGCAGTGTCACATTGTGCGCACCCCTGCTGCGCATAACAATAACGGGTTCGGAAACTGTCGGAAATTGCTCGGACGACATAATCCGCCATTGTTTCGAAGCTGTATAATGAATTCTGAGGTAAGTCAAAATATGCATATTTTACATATTTTTTTGTAAAGCAATACGAATCTAATTGAACAGTGATATATCCGTTTACATAGGGAAATCGTTGTGATTGTAAGAGTTCTTGCAGCACTAAAAGAAAGCCTAATGGAACCCGAGGTTGTCCGTGTAAAGGTAGAAATGTAGTGTGTTCGGCAGAATGTCATTGTGGCACGC